AATCCACATATATAATAATCATATTCGGTAATTTAGTAAAATCCTACATGGCCCAAAAATAATAATATGGATATGGATATGGATATGGATGTTTAATGTCTGTTTGTGTGTATCAAGTTTACTCAAATACGGACATCTCATCATCTTTGATAATGTTTTGAATCCTTTATGATGATCATCATTTTAATTCCCAGTAGCCTAATATTAACCAAGTTTTTCTTTCTCTCCGTTCTTGTTAATTATTTTTTTTTTGCTATCAATTTATGTATGCATTGACCATCATTCTTTCCACCAAAATTCGGTCAATGGATTTTCTCTTCACTCATTCATTAATCTAATCCGAAAGCAGTAGCCATTTATACCATCATTTGGGCTGGTCATTTTCTTTTTTCATTTTTTCGAAAAAATTGCCTTGTCTTGCTTATATGGGTATAGGGTATAGGGTCATTGTTGTTTATATTTTGCCATTGTGTGTATATGTCATTGGTGACATTATCATCATTATCTTTATCACAATTATGAGGAAATTGGGAAGAAATGATGAAAAAATATCATTTCTGTGTTTTTGTGTGTGTGTGTGTGTGTGAAGGAACTCACACATAGTTTATTCTTCAAGGTTAGACTAGATTACTTTTTTTACTTGATCACCATCTTCATCATCATCATCATCATTAAGCCAAGGATCATAAACAGAGATTTTATTCAGAAAATTCTACTCTCAAAATGATGATAATAATGGAAAAATTCCATTTCATCCATCTACCCAATCTATTCAGTATTTTTTTTAGCATTAAATTCTGTGTGGTCAATGTTTGTCTGAGATCATGAAGCGAGAAAGAGAGAGAGAGAGATGTTAAATTTTCAGTTTATTTTTCATTTCTATCTGTCCATTCAATTCATGATATCGAGGTCAGGTCAGTGCTAAGGTGTGGTACTACTAATACTACCACTAATAATAATAATAATAATCATCTTGGTCTTTGTCTATCATCATCAATTCTTCTTTTATGTGATTGTCATTTAAAACGCCGCACACGCACATTGCACTGATTACAACACAATGTTGACCACTGTCAAAAGAAAGAATTTATAAAAGAAAATTGTGTGTTCCATTCACTTTCTCAGTCTGTTCAATCTATCCAAGTTCAGGTTTGTCTTCATATGATGATGATGATGATAGGCTCCAGATGGATTTATCATGAACAAAAAAAAAAAGAAAAAATGATACCTAGCCTATTCGCTTGGGTCTATTAATCAACATGAGAAAAGAAAGCACCAAGTCATTGCTATCTATCTACTAGTAAGTTGTATAATCCAGGCTAGCCAATGGAAGATTCTTTAGAATTGAATGTATTTATGAAAACGATTAGTGTTGTTATTATGACTAAACTAACTGAAAATCGAAGAGGTGTTAGTATAAATAATGATTCATTAGTCACTATATCATCATTGTTGTTTATTCTTTTCTATCAACGACAACAAAAATAAGGAAATTTTGAATTGAAAATGAGAATTCTCCATTGAGACTTGGATCTGCTGTAGTAGTATATTTGTCTCAAGACCGTAATAACATTATCGATAATGTTTTCAACGACGATGATCATGTCGATCAAATAAATTAACCCTGTTTTGCTGTTGTCGGCCATTTTATTATGATCATATTGGACATCAATTGACCAGTATTTCCAAGTGAAAATGTTGTCCTTTTGCAATTATTGTTTGAAATGATGATGATGATGATGATAATGGCCTTAGAATTCTATTTGTTTGTTGTTGTATCGTTTTTACTTTATTTATTCCTATTTGGGGTCATTACTTTGGCGAAAAAGAAAAATCTTTGGTTCCGTGTTGCCCAAGTTGATTGTTTTATTTTTTCATCTAATGTTTTTATGATTGCCTCATATAAAATCAACAGCAACAACGGAAATGGTAAACTGAATCTATAGGAATACACTACCTCACTACATGTACTTGGCTTCTGAATCAAATATTTATTTTCTCTCTAGACTGTTGGCTATATACAGATACGGTGTTGTTGTCTGTTTGTGTTTCTGTCCTGATTTCATCATGTCGGTATTTTTTGTGATCCAAATGAGAATCTCCCCGGTATTTGTATATGTGTGTGTGTTCACATCGTTTGGTGTGGATGGTTTCATTTTCTTTCCTTCTCAGTTTGTGCCAATTAAATTTTTTATCAGTCAAATAACATGCATTTTGTGTGGATTTGTTTTTCTGGATGAATGTTTTTCTTTCATTTTTGCTAATTAGAATGCATTAGAACAAAACAACAACAACAAAAACAAATAAAAGTAGTGTATATCATGCATTGAATTTAATTGTTTTTTGTTATTGTTTCAATTCCAATTGGTTTCGGGTGGACATTGGTCGCCATGTATAACTGATAAAACTAGTTTGAATTTTTTTTTTTTTTCATTCATCTACTACTTTATTATTTCCAAACTATTGTCATTCATGAACCCTGTGCTTGAATTCTTTGATGAATGAATGAATTTTTCAATTTCAATATTAATGATGATGATGATGATGATGATGATTGGACTTAATGATGATGATGATGATGATGATGATTGGTGTGCAATCAAGGCTAATGTGTACACTTACACTCCTCGTTCAAATATGAACTGCTAGAAGATATCAAGTGATTGGTAGTTGATTCAATGCGAATTTTCCTTATACTATGAATCGTGGTCAAGATTTATAATATCATGGCGAGAAATCGCACGAAAAAAAAGATACCAATTCTTGAATTTTACTAATAAATCTTTTTTGTATTCCAATATAATAGATAAAAATGTCTGAACAAAAAGTTGCTTCAAGCATAAATGACAAAAAATGTCCCATTTGCAATTTTATTTGAAAAAAGGTTCAAAAGTTGGACGAAAAACAATCAAAACGGAACAAGATGTGCAAAATGCATCGAGGTTACTTGAAGTAAATGTCAAAGTCAATGATATTTTGTGCACAAAATGTAATTCAAAGCTATCTAGGATGATATCCTTAGAAAAGCCAAATATTTATGATCAATGCCAAACTACTGCCGGCACAAGCAAAACTCTTACTGAACAAATCCAAACTACTGCCGGAACAAGCAAAACTCTTACCAAACAAATCCAAACTACTATTAAATTTTGAATTTCAAAGAAAATGCAGGTAAATCTGAGCACTTGTTCAGCAATGAATGATTTGTTTGATTCGGGTTCGAGCACCCGCTGCGATATTTTAATTAATAAATTCTATGTCCATATCTGAATTGTTTGAATCTTGTTTCAATTGCATTTCAAAGGGCCATGGATGATTACTAGCAATGAAGCAAAACATATGTATTAAGGTTAGAGAATTTCTTTTTTCTCCAGTATAAGTAGGTGTGCGTGTGAGAAATATTTGGCTTGTTTTATTTCACTTTCGCTAATTTCACCAATAGCCTGCATACAAACACGATGATGATGATGATGATGATGAATGAGAGAATAAACCAATCATTCCATCATTGTGTCATAGTTGTTTAGTTTTTCTGGTCATGTCATTGACATTGTCTTTTCGTTATTGTTGGCTGATTGCTTTTAGTTGTTGTTTCGATTGATCTCCTGTGGGCTATATCATTATCATCATCATCATCATCATCATCATCATCACAACAAGGTAGATGTCAAATGCTGCAATATAATGACAATGATACAATTGGCTACTTTATACATTATTAGCGATTGTTTCTATGCTCGCGTTAAAAACACCTGAATATACACACAAATATTTGTTCTTTTCATTTTTTCCTATGGTCCAACACACACACGACAAGGGTCTCCGGTCTATTTAGAACGTTATTACTACCGTCGTTAACAATCATTGAATCTAATGGACTGATAATCATTATTATGATACGTTTCTTCTTCAATCTTTGTTTGTTGTTGACATGTCATCATCATCATCATCATCATCACGATGATGTTGAAAAGGAAACGAAATACTGGGCCAGTGTCTCTCTCTCTCTTGGAACAAAATTTCATTTCATTCATCAAAATAAAACGAGTCATGGTTGATCAGATTCAGGATAACGAGAATTTTTTGTTTGTGTGTGTAGTTGCAAAATTGCTTCTGTTGTTGAATTTTGAAGCAATTTGAAACTGGACAAATGAAACCTAGAACAAAAAAGAAGAAAATCCACACACAGAACACTTATTATCATTTCTATTCTTGTTTTCTTTCTAGAAAAGTATCATCATCATCATCCACGTTGAGATCATTATCTTGTCAAAATCTTAAACCATGTGTCGGTATGTGTGTGTTGATGCCAATTTGAATCTTCATCTCAATTTTTTTCTTCACCGTCCGACCAATCGACGAGATCAACTTGTGCTGATAATGGTTTGCAGAGAACCTGACCTGTTGAGGTTCTACTTTTTAGCAATGGAATGATGATGATCAGATCTAACTATCATTTCTTTTAAAATAAAATGAATGCCAATGTCGAATGATGTAAAAGAAGAACTAATGAAATTGATGATGATGATGATGATGATGATGATGATGATGAGGAGAGAGGAGGAGGAGGAGGAAGAAGAAGAGGACAAGAAGTGACACGTAATTAATTTCAACGACTTGTGCTCAATGCTACCGTGTACTACGGATGTGTGTGTGTATCATTTTGGCTATTTTTGACCATTTTTATCTCCACTTGATAGAGAATTAATTCATTTTTTAATGATTATTTTTCAATCTAATTAGATTTGAGCATTGAGACATGATTGCGGAAATCAAGTTTGAAAACGAAATAATGTTGACAATAGATTAAGATTATCCGATTGAGCTTTGTTCAAATGGTTAATGAATTCGATTGTAATTAATTAGTTTTTTCCCCTTGTTCTTTCATATAATAATCACGTGTTTTTGTATCATCCATTTTTAATGAGAAAAGTGATGTGCTTGCGAGTAACGATCATAATCTAACAAACTTTTCATTTCATTTCCTTTCATTCATACAGAATGGTCTTCATCAACCTCGACAACGATACGGCCAAGATATCATACTTTATATGCATGTGAAGGCAATTCATTGGAGATACAATGTGAACAAGGCACACATATTAATCTGATACGAGCAAATTTCGGCCGTTTTTCCATCTCTGTCTGCAATGAACAGGGAAATGTTGATTGGAGTGTCAACTGTATGGCGCATCGTTCATTTAGAGTCATCCAAGAAAGGTATGTTTGAATTGATTATCGATAAATTGATTGATTGATTGATTGTTGACATTCAATGATTCTATATCCATGAATTATGCAAAAATGATGAATAAAAACAAAATTCTAGGTGTGCTGGTCGTTCCAATTGTAAAATAGAGGCAACCGTGGCAACATTCAATGAGGACGCCTGTCCTCGTGTACATAAATACCTAGAAGTACATTTTAATTGTACTAAACCAAGATCATTGTTGCCCGGAAGTGTTCAACAACAACAACAACAATCAGTCAATCACACCATTAATATTGATTCTGGTAAGTGTTTCCGTACAGACTTTTCTAATCGAAGAATCGTTTTTTTCTCTCTTTTCTTTCTCTTGTTATTCTTGCCTAAAACTTTGCTCGCTTCAATTCTCTTAATTCACTAACAATCATCACCACTCTTGTTTAATAACATTTTCAAATTTAACGACTGTGCTCTAAAAAGCTGTGGCTCTAAAAACTATTGTAAATTGCCTGCCTCAACCACAATGTTTGGCGATCCTTGTCCTGGTACATTGAAATATTTGGAAGCTCATTATCAATGTGTAAAAGGTATAATTGCCTACTATCGATAGTATCGAAAGATAGTTGCTCATTTGTTCTTGTTGTTGATCTGCTTTTCATTTCTTCATTGTTATGATTGTTATGATTATGATTCCCTTCTTTTCACCTTTTTTCATTGTTTTTTCTGTTTTCCCTTTTCAATCATCTTATCTTATTGTTATTATTATTATTGATGATCATGATCATGATATTAATAATCTCCTCTTTCTTCCCACAGACAATCACAGTGACGGAACTGTCAGTCATGATCAAAACAATCATCCATCTAATCATCATAATCATCACCATCATCAAGTATCATTTCCACCGGTCGTATTATTTCCGGAGCCAATGCCGCCATCTAATGGGATTGGATCAACATCCACGGCATTACCACCACATATTGATCTAACATCACAGGATATAAAAGATCAAGAAGAAGCGGTGGAAAAGGCACCATTATCGATTGTCGATGAACCTGGTCCAATACAGGTAAAACCGCCAAAACCAATTGATTTGTCCGAAGATTCATCACAATCAATGGACCAAGATGATAGTAATGATTATGATTTGCCGCCAATCATTAAAAATGAATCAGATGACGACCCATCTAATGATACTCCATATAATCGTGGATCATCATCATCCACAATTGTTTCGCCACCACCACCACCACCACCACCATCATCATCATCGAATGCTATTGTTAAACAACATCCATTTAATAATGCCGCTCATTATCCACAAACACCACAACCATCGTCTTTCCCATCGTTGTCCGGCCAACAGGCACCAACAGCGAAGCCACCAAAGCCGGATAATTATGATCCACCTTATTCGGAAAATGATCCATCTTACACATCACAACCGGACGAAGTGTTATTGGTACCAGTTCCAGTGCCAGTGCCTTCTATCGATTTAGTTTATGATTATTGTCGACCAATGTATGCTAAAAATCTTAATTGGAATTGGACAATGGCCGGTAATGTTTTGCGACAAGCTTGTCCAGTTGGTGCCAAAGGTATAGCACGATGGTCATGTATAATCGAAAACGGTGAACCAACATGGACACCACATCTGCCAGATATGTCTAATTGTTCCTCACTATGGATCGCTCATCTATTGGATCGACTTCGTTCACAAGAATCAATATTTTCATTGGCCGAAGAATTGGCCAAAGGAGCTAAAGGGAAAATTTTATATAGTGGTGATCTAATCAGTGCTGCCGATATTATCAAACAATTGGTGATACGATTGGAAACAAAATTGGAAGAAAGTAAAGATGACCAGGACAGGCGTGCTCATTTGATTAAAGAATTGCTAAACGTAAGCAGAATTGTTTATCATGATTTTCACCAATTTAAATCCATTTTTTTCTTATCACAGTCTGTCCTGAATGTTGCCAGTAATCTCTTGGAAGAGATACAAATGGAATCCTGGCATGAACTGAATCCACATGATCAACGCTTGGCCATTCGTACAATGATTCGTGCAATGGAACGTGTCGCTGAACTTTTAGCTGATGTACGATCACAACCGAATTATAATTTTGTCCGTACACATAATAATATCTGTGAGTTGAACTGATGATTTTCATTTAATCATTGCCAATTAATTCAAATTTCCAGTGGTCTCTGTCCATGTTCATGCACTTGCATCATTGGAAAATGGAATGCATCTTCCATTTGTTCTATCTCAATATGATTCATCGGTGCCATCGATGTCGGATTCAACATCAAATGAAGTTTCTGTTCACTTACCATATGATGTACTACTTCAACATGCTAATGACCAAGGACAAGTAAAAGTCATCTTTTTAATGTATCGACGATTGTCAAATTTACTGAAAGTTCGAGCACCAAACACCTACCATGATTATCCGGTTCATCTGCAGCCATATGCTTATAAACAATTTTCCGAACGAAATGATTTCGAATATCCAATCTATCAATATCAACGTCATCATCATAACAATGGAATGTATCGATCAATGCAACAATCATCGATCAATACAATTATTAATTCTGATATTGTTGGCCTAATATTGGCCACTGATTTACAACATTCATCATATGATCGATTACCGGTACCATTGAATGGAATGGTTGAATTTACATTTCGCCATTTACAAACGGAAAATGTAACAAATGGTCGTTGTGCATACTGGGACATGAAACGTATCGACGAAGACACATTTGGTGATTGGTCTACTGCTGGTTGTGAAACACTTTCATCCAATCGTACACATACAGTTTGTCGTTGTAATCATCTGACCAATTTTGCTGTTTTGATGGACATAACGAATGCGCAAACGGTAAGTTTGAATTTAATTTGATATAATGATCGAATGGCATTATTACTATTGATTTGATTATCATTGATTTAGATGGATGCAAATGATGAATATGCTTTACGAATGATTACAAGGATCGGTTGTTCCATTTCTATCATAGCATTGGCAATCACATTGCTTACTTTATCAGTTTACAGGTCTGTATCATTTATTGATTGACTGATTATTGGTTATAATATTGGTTTTCCACTTTTACAGAAGTCTAAGTTCGATTCGAAATTCTATTCATAAACACCTTTGCGCTTGTCTTTTGGTCGCTGAAGTTATATTCTTATTGGGAATCGATGAAACTCGTATTAAATTGGTTTGCGGATTGATTGCCATCGCATTACATTATTTCTTTTTGGCTTCATTCCTGTGGATGTTTTTCGAAGGTCTACAATTGTACACAATGTTGGTACAAGTATTTGAACATGGTGGTCGCAATCGTATGACCATATATTCATTGGTTGCATATGGTTCACCAGCATTATTGGTCATTGTTGCTGCATTGGTTGATCCATTATCATATGGAACATCACAACATTGTTGGCTAAGAACAGATAATCATTTCATATGGAGCTTTCTGGGACCAGCACTGGCTATTCTATTGGCTAATGCATTATTCCTGACATTGGCCATCAGTGTCATGTGTCGACATGTTCCGAATTCAATCATAACATCCACGACATTTGCAACCGTTCAACAGAAACATCACCATCACCATCAGCAGCAGCAGCAACAACAACAACATCATCATCAGCAACAGCAACAACAGCAACATTTAAAAGTCTATCCATCGACATTGACACCATCACCATCGTATTCGATCACGGAACACAGTAAAATGCATTCGATCAAGTAATGTCATTTTGTTTTCGATTAATGCAAATTGCCAATATTAATTTATCGTTTTTTTGTCAAACATTATCTAGAATTTGGATACGTACATCGATTTCATTGTTGGTCATGCTAGGATTAACTTGGTCGATTGGTGTTTTCTATCTAGCACGTCCAACGTTTACAATGGCTTTCATATTCACATTGTTCAATTCATTGCAAGGATTATTGATATTTATTTTTTGTTGCATTTTGAATGAAAAAGTTCGTGCAGAATATCGTAATAGTCTGGCACGCAGCTGTCGCCGTTGTTTCTTTCTTCGATCAATCGATACGACTTCGATGGCATTCGGTGCGAAAAGTTGTTCGGATTCTACACGTTCCACTTCATTACGTGATTCACACCATTTGATGATGAACGGCGGTTCAACACACGGTCATCATTTATCGCAACAGCATTTATACATGCAACAACCGGCTGCTTCCTTTTTAGGTTCAAGAAATGCTGTACCACGAACTTCATTGTTGTATTTGAATGAATTACTGGGGAAAACTAGCGAACCACCAACGGTAGCGAATTCACCAACAACTGATCAACCATTGATACCAAGTCAAATGATGCATTCGACCCCATCGATTCATCAATTTCAATGTCCACCAAATAATCTACAAACAGACAATCAACAAACAACAATCCAACAACAACAACAACAACAACAGCAGCAGCAGCAGCAACAACAACAACAACAACAACATTTCAGCCATAGTCGTCTTAGTCAGGCATTGTCCAGTATCAGTCAGATAACCATGCAAGATGACGCATCTTCATCCGATTACGGTTGTCGTCGTCTTACGCAGATGATTGAACATATTTATGAATGTATTGATGATGACCCTTATGTTGCTAAATTATTATTGCCGGCTATCCAACGATCATTGGATAATCATCAGGCACGTGCTCATCTTTGTCAGGATGGACAACAAAATGGTGGAAATCGTGGACTTACGCCGGCACTGTTGGCCACATTAAATCGTGCATCACAACGAAATCTAACGCAGATGCGCTTACAACCGAATAGTAGTTATCTATCGTCGGGTAACCATCATTCACATCATACTATTGGACATGGAAATATTGGTGGTAAGTTTTATTGTTTTTTTTTTGGGGAATGGAAAAAATCTAAACATTCAAACTACAATCATTACAGGCCTTCATTTACCGGCTATTGTTCGCGATAATACGGCCATGAATGGAAAATCATCATCGATTCAAAATGGATGTTCAGCGCAACAACAAACTGTAGCATTATTGGACGGTGATCAAGTTCGTTGCTGTACATTGAATGACCATAAACTTTGTGATCATCAATCCGAAATGAATGGAACCAACAATATTATTCAGCAATCTCAACAACTTATGAATCAACAACAAATGATGAACGTTTTAAAGGGCCAAAACAACATCACTAATGGTGGTAATGGAAATGGCCATCATTTAGCAAGTGAATGTTGATGATGAACTAATCACTAAACATTGATTTTTTTCATTGACAAATGTGATCTTTATTTATATGGAAAAAATTATTCCATTTTCGTGTGTGTGTGTGTGTGTGTGTGTATGATATATTTGTGATATTTTCATCTCTAATTTTGTTTTTTTATCATAATCAAGTGATCGATTGATTGATTGATTGATTACCCATTTAACTTGTACATACATTTTGTAATTGTCTTATTATTATTATTATTATTATTATTATCTTTATTCATCACAATTTTCACAACAATCACTAATCATCACACTTGTTTGTTGGCTTGTTCAAATTTTTTTTTCTTGAAATTAACTGTAAAATATCCAATTGTAATTACAAACAATACTAAACGCTTATGAAGATGAGTAATAAATAATAAAAATGAAAAATTTGACCACATTTGAAATTAGTTTCATTTCCAGTCAACAAGTAGCAGCACCATATATTGAATGGAATTGAGAGAAGACCAATTTGTTTAATAATTATTTTGTTGTTGTTTATCGACATTGTTTTTTGTTCACCTTTTGATAACAAACTAATAGCAATTAAAAGTAGTCAACACAACAACAACAACAACAACAACAACATAAAGCTTAGCCTTGATCAGTCTAATCGTTTGGCCAATAATAATGAAAATGATAATGCTTGTGGTGCACACATAGCATAATTTTCATCTTGATCGAATTTGAATTTTTTTATAATCATCTAAATTGTAAAAGTAATGGAAACATGCATTATATTTAATGTATGAATTATACCGGTGTAAAAATGGATCAATGGATCATTGGATCAACGGCATAGTGGCCAAACAACTACTACTGATCATGGTAATCATCATGGTCATTAAACAACAATGATTAGCGTAATAAATTTGTCATTAATCAGTGTTTCGTTTCATCATCGTATGAATTATTCAACAGACGATCATGGTTTATAAGATTTATATATGAAGAAGATGAAGTAAAAAACAAATCAATCTAATCAATCCTAAATTCGAACCAATAATAATGTTTATAATGATGGCCAATCCTTGAATCCAATAGTTCATAAACAGTGGTGTTTATCTGAATGAAAATCATCATCATGAAATAATCATTTGAATGATTGAATGGCAAATTAAATTTTTCAGATAATCATAATGTCCGGTTGTACCTGGTTATGGATAATAACTTCTTGATGACATTTCTGTTGTCAAGCGAGAGTATGACGACAACGAAATGGACAATCATTAATCATTGTGTTTGATTGGGTATTTTGCAAAATGTCCATATAAATGAAAGAATATATTTCATTCATTCATGATTTTATGATGTTTACACATGATTAAAAAGACAATGAATTGGAAAAAACCCTTCTTGCAATCGACAAGTTGGTTAGTTTAGTATTGTTATCATAACTCAATCCGTGAATGGTATAAAAGTGGAAAAAATTCCATTCATTATTATGTCAGAATCAAAAAGTGAAATCTTTCATCCTTTATGATAAAATTATTACATAATGATTCAACAAGTGAGTGATTGGTGTTTGTGTTCATTTATAAATGTCTTTATTGATCGATTCCTTCATTTGTAATTGTTTTTTAGTTTTTAGCGATTGTTCCATTGATCTTTTCATCGGTTGTCAATGTTCATGGAAATGGCCGAATTGAACAACAAAACCTTGGCATTCCAGATGTGATCAGTCCTCCTTCAGAATCAGAATCATCATCATCATCTTCATCGTCGCAGTACATAACCCAACAAAACATTGGGATACCCGATGGTCTTGGTTATCAACCAATGCCATCATCCGGATCTTCTTCATCTTTATCATCTTCTTCATCATCATCATCATCATCAATTGGTTTCTTACCTCAACAAAATATTGGAAAACCCGATATTGCTGCCAGTGGTGGATCTCAACCATCGTCATATGAAGCATTTTCTTCTTCCTCCTTATCTTGTTACGGATCACCACAAGGAAGCGGTTTTATGCCACAGCTAAACATCGGAATACCAGGACGTTACCCAAGTAGCAATCGTCAAGTCATCACATTACCTGTTCATAGTCGACATACGATTGAATATGTTGATGTACCATCGACTGGTAATATTCAACCGATTAATATTCAAGTTCCAGCTCCACGTCTTGGTGCTAATTTTAATTTTCGTTCAAGTTCAAACATAAAAGTATCACAATCACATCAAAATTCACCGGGTGGTTATCACCAAGAAACATCATCAATCGACGAACCGATTCGGCTTTCCATGACAGTTCGACGTCCAGTCGTACATGAATTGAGAGAAACCATTCAACCATATCGTAAGGTGTATGAGATGAATTCAGATGCAACTCTTGGTGGTACTCGACCACAACAACAACAACAAAAACAACCGCAATCTGGTCGCAAAGGTAATCGACGATTCTATGATGGTTCATATGGAATTGGACAGCAAAAAATTTAGGAACTGAGACACACAGAGAAATTTCTTTTCGCAATCTATAATCACTGCTTGTTGTAAACAGCCACAATGACATTGTTGTAACATTGTTTCTTATGAATAAAATCAGATTTTTTTCATTTCTTTTTCCCTGAACAAATCGCACACATAATAATAATAATCATCATCCTCATCATCATTGAATGGTTAAGTGTCTAGACATGATTTGACTTGATTAGACGCAATCTGTTTGCATTTCTTTTTTCGACATTGTTACAAATCATATCATGCATTCTATGTTATCCATCATCATTTATGATTTTGTTCCACTTTTTCTTTCGTTTGATTGAAACGAAAAAAATGTCTTAATGGACACGAAAAAGTCTGCAACTGTTTCATTTCACAATAATCGGGCTGAAATGAATCAAAATTTAATCAATCACTAACCGATTGATTCGGTTATTGTCGGATAATTTCTTCTGTATCAAAAGACACACGATTGAATTCAAGTGAAGCGAAAAATTTTTCTCGCTTCAACAAATTTGTCTAATAAAATTTGAAAACAATGGATGAAAAGACACATGTACACACACAAACAATAAGATGGTATCATCATCATCATTATTATTAAAGAATGTGTGAATCTTATCGTCTTAAAATAACCATCGGTTTTCATTCATCCACGATAACAATTTTCTCTCGTCATTTCTATACACAACGAAAAATAAATGTCTGATAATCACCAAGGTTAAATGACACCAGGCACAAAATGGTGTAGTATTTTCAACCTCTCTCTCTCTCTCTCTTTGTCTATTTTTGACGGAAATACTGTACACACACACACACACATATGTGTTAATTAAAGCTTTTTCTAGTGTTGGGCTTCCTTAATTAGCTTTCTCTCTTGCTTTCCACGTTTTTTTTGTTGGTTTGAAAATGACAAAAACCAAATCAGACAACCATCTCGAACAAGTTAATTGTGATGGATAGATTGGTCATGTTTGAAAGTTTTTTTAGTGACATGATTTGTAATTTGTAATGTGACAAACAACGGCAACAATAAACGCAAATAAGATTGTTGTTGGCATTGGTGCAGAATGTCATCATGGTTCATTCATATTATTATGGCTGTAGATTTAACGTGGTGAAATGTTTTTCTTTCATTATTTGTCATTATTGTTTTTCAATTTCCATACAAATATGGCCATTATTATGTTCAGTTGACTCAGGTGATTCAGGTGATCTTGGTGAATTTCCCATACCAGGTGGAAGAATCTCGGTCAGTATTCATCATAGTATGACTCAATCATGCTAAATTGTCTTTCTTCAGTTTGAAAGATTAACCGCAATGCCTACTGTACATGTAAATCAAACACCAATTGTGCGATCATTTATACCGGATGATAATGGACCATTCACAAGACAAGGTGATCCAGCGTTCGCTGAATCTGTATTCCGTCGTTCACAAGGCCATTTTAATCGTGAACGTATACCGGAACGTGTTGTGCATGCAAAAGGCTCTACATATTATGGTGTATTTCGTGTGACCAATGCAAAAATTGCCAAATACACGAAAGCATCATTGTTCGACACGGTGGGCAAAGAGACAAGATTTGCCGTGCGATTCTCAACACAATTAGGCGAACGAGGATCGGCCGATACACCATTCGGTGAGATTCGTGGCGTGGGCATCAAATTCTATACGGAAGATGGGAATTATGATCTTCTCTTCATCAACACGCCGGTATTTTTCATCAACGATCCGCAATTATTTCCACACATAAATCATGCACAAAAACGTGATCCACGCACTGATTTACGGGATGCAAACAATCTATGGGATTTCATTTCACGTCGCCCTGAAACATTGAATGGCATTACGTTTGTTTATTCAGATTATGGTCAGCCGGATGGTTTTCGTCACATGCCAGCATTCAGTGTGAATACATTTCGTTTTGTTAGTAAAGATGGCAAACGTTTCTATGTTCGTTATACAATGTTACCATTGGCCGGTATACGTAATCTTAGGCTATCGGAATCCTTTCGATTAGCAGGTGAGATATATATGCTACAAATATGCTACAAGCTACAATTTTCTTTGCCATCGATAATAACTTGTAATGATTATGATTATCATATGTAAATGTAAATGATGATGATTTGTTTATTTCTGTAATTTTTTCTCATATCGAAAAACAAAAATTCAACTGTAATCATTGTTGATGATGGTCACTGATTACATTTTGATTGCGGGTTAATAACATGAATCGTTGATTAGGCGAAGATCCTGATTATGCACGACGTGATCTATACGAAGCAGTTGAAAATGGACAACGACCATCATGGGCGTTATATGTCCAAGTTATAACGGCCCAAGAAATCGATAACAGTTTTACATACAATCCATTTGACCCAACTAAAGTAATGCTTGTCTTTTTTCTGTTGATATATGTTAATCACTTGATTGTATTGTAACATAGATTTGGCCAATTGAAAATTTCCCATTAGAAGAGATTGGAATCCTTACGCTTGATCGTAATGTTGAGAATGCATTTGCTGAAAATGAACAGATTGCATTGAATCCGGCTAGTCTGGTGCCTGGTATTGAACCATCACCTGATCGTATATTGTTGGGACGTATGTTTGCCTATTTGGACACGCAATTTTACAGGTATGACAATTGTCTGAATTTTTTTGAATCTTGTGTTTTTCTTTGCATTCATTCATTCATCCATTGAATTCATTTCATTTCAAACAACACAGATTAGGAGCCAATCATCTGTTGATACCAATCAATCGTGATGGTCGAAAAATCCTGAGTGAACGTGATGGTTTCATGCGCACAGATGACAATTATGGTTCATTGCCAAATTATTACCCGAATCGAGAATTCAATGAACAACCATGGCTTTATGATATAACGGCACCGCCATTTTCATTTAGTTTTGTTGATATTGCCGTAATGAAACCGGATACTATACAATCCCAGTATCAACATGCACGTGAAACATATGAATCATTTTCACCAGATGAACAGGATCGTCTGCATTTTTATCTAGCATTTGCATTGAACATGATTACCAAACAAGACATATTGGAACGAATGTTGGCACATTTAGTGAACATAAGTCCGCGGTATGGTCAAGGTGTGCGACGTTCACTAATGGATCTAAAACAAGAACAATCCACATCACAAAGAGTATCATCAATGTATTAATGTGAAAATTATCATTGCCGAACACATGTAATTTCAACTTGTTCCCAATGTTTACAAACACGTTGCTCTAAGCACAAAATTTTGTTTTATAAATTTAAATTGGTTTTGCAGAAAACAAGAAGATTTATGATTAAAACACAGTTTCCTGTTCCAATGATGATGATGGAAGCAAATTTTTCTTTTCATCTGCTTCAATATATTCATGGATGAAGGAAAAAATTTCCGGCAAACATTTTCATCATTAACATTTGAATGAAAATTTGAGAAAAGTGAAAGTGTTAGTTGATTATGAATAAATGAAAAAATTCCTTTAGAATGGATGGAATAAAGAGAGAGAGAGAGAGAATTTCAAGTGACAGCCATCATTAAAGAATAGAATCACATTTGAATTATACGATAGATAAACGAATGGAAATAATGATGTCACATTGAATCATTGACCAATCAAATATCATTTCATGATCATCAATTGTCGACCATCAACAAATTATTATTGACAATCATAATAATTGGATGTTCGGTTTGCGTGCCTACGCGTATACATGTCTTTGATGATTGAATTCTTTTTTTGTTTGTTGCCAACGACTTGAACTCAAAGTTCACTTTGTCGATCATCGTCAAGTTTATTTCGTTTGTAAGATATTGATTATGAGGGCATTTTTTGGACGAAAGGCAAATTCAGTTACAATTTTCAACGTTTAAATCATTCGAGTTTCATTTCAAATGATGATGATCAAATTTGATTCAATGGCCAATGTGCATTAGACTTGTGATAATCATGTTTCATTTCGTTACATGGGTCTTTTTTATTAATGGTAAAATTAATCTATAGATTCCATATGGTTAGAATTTTCTCATCATTCAATAATTGATCAGTCAGATAAACGACAACGATATTTGACAAGCAATCAATATCAATATGGATTTGAAAATGAAAAATTTCTATTACAAAATCATTCATCGTGTATTGATCCATGATGATGTTGATGATGCAATGAAATCATCTTGACTTTTTAATTTTTTCTTCATTTGAAGATGTCTGTATATGTGTATATGTGTGTGTTTGATTGGATGGTGGATTATTCCACTATGTAACCATTTGGACAAGAGAAATCAAACAACAACAACAACAACAATCAAGTGAAAAAACGATGGCATTTGAATGCAATGGATGATGAAAAACTAATAACTTTTTACCATTTGCGTTGATGATGATGCGATCAACTTTTCATCATCACCATCATCGCCATGATGATGACAATGAGTGATCAATTTTTTTTTTTGATCATAATGATGGTTGAGGAAAAAAGCCACAATCAAATGAAGGTTTATGTTGAAAATTTTTCCATTTATTTTGGGCATGAACTATTTTCAGAAATCGCGTCCTATTAGAGAAAATAGGTTTTTTGTCTGTTCCAGAGGTTTCAAATTTAGCTGCAATTGCAAACCAAAGATTTGTTGAAAGCAAAACCTATGGAAATGAAAATATCACGAGCCATTCAAGGACAATGCATCAAGAGCATAAAAACAAACAAATGGCTACAGGGATGAAGCACTTGAATTTGTTGTTGATAATAGTCAATAGTCAGTAGTAAAGACTTATATCGAAGAAACAAAAAAAAAACAAAAAAAACAAAAAACAAAAAAAGCGATTGAAAATGAAAATGAAAATAAAAACGCGGATACAAACTGAATATAATTTGATATATACAACGAGTTGATAACGAGTTTCAAACAAAATAAAAACACTGCTTGATGTTTATGTGTATGATGGACTCATCAACAACGCAATTAACGCAGTAATATACATTACATTACATTTTGCACTACTATCGTACACTAACGCCGGGTACAGATGAACGAATTACAATTTGATTATTAAGGCCAAATATATTAAATCTGATGATTCGTAGTCAGTTCAATCGTTTTTTAAAAAACGAAACCATGAGATCTAAATTGATGAATTCCTAAGAAATGAATGTTACATTTGTTAAAGGTCACACACTCAAACTTGACATACGAAAACAATCAATCGAATCTTGTCCGTAAAGAATCGGTCTATTCTGAACTGAACTGAATTGAAAACATTATTATTGACATGGACAATTTTCCAATATTTATTCATTTGCTGTTTTGCAATATTCAAAGGAGCAAAAGAAACTCGAATGGATCCTCATCCTTTTTCCTAAGAACTTGTTGTTGTTGTAGACATTATCATTATCTTTTCTTGTTTTTTTTCTTAAACTTGCACGTATTATCATTGTCGTCATTTTGTTGTTTGATTACATAATTTTAAACAAAACACCAACTCAAACAAATCATGATGATGGATGATGATCAATAACACAAAAAATGGTCATTTTTTGTCAGCGTCGATTATAATATGTTTGTCCTATGGTAATCAATGTAATAGTAATGATTGTGAATGAAGAATTTTCAGAATCATCGATGAAAAAAAATCATTATAAAATTGTCAATGGAACATTGATTTTTTCAGTTTCATAATAATAATAATGATGATGATGATGATGATGAATACAAATAACAATTGCTGCATTGAATTTGACATTGAAAAGTTAATAAAAGCAAATTTCAATTGTATATAATGAGCGAATACTGGCCATAACAAGAAAATTTTCAAGTGCCACACCATTATAAAGCAAACAATCTTGGACAGCAATGGCTGAGTGATACAATCAAAAGTTTTTTGAACTTGGCAAAATTTTCTCAAATTTTACTTGCATTTTCAATCATTGTATGAACCTAGCATATACGTGATGATGATTTGTGACAAGCGAATCTCGGATCATCTGGATTAAATTTTGATTACAAGTCCTGTTTTAATGGGTATGCATGTTTTCCAACGGGAATGATCTTGAAACTCATGATTGTCATGTTTGTTAAACAAAAAGTTGACTTGTGTGTGTGACAGGCATAACATACATAACATATTTAGACAATTTCGTTTTACACAATTTCCGGGCTACACATTTTCGGTATCATTGGTTGATTGTTGATTTGTTGATTTTCTACGACATTTGGCATTTCCATAACCGGACTCAACATTCACACAGGATCGAATCAAACCAAATAAAATTGAATGGCGAAAAAGTAAAATTTCATTTCTTAATTTCCCCTCATGAATATAAATATGATGATGATTGCTCATTAACGGTGGAAAAAAATCGTGAAGATGATGACCATATGACCGTCATCACGGAGACACACACATGACAGCTTGTTCGTGATAACATCTTGCAGTATGGAAATTGACCAAACAGAGAGAGAAAGGGATTCATCATTTGTTCGGCCTCATCACACCACTTGTCATTGATATTGAATATTGAAAGTTGTTCAATTCAATTCAATTCAATTAATTATTTCTTCTTTTTTCTGTGATATAATCACTAATCACACATTTTCCATTTTACATTTTCCATTTATTCATTCGAAAATCCAAATCCAATCATATTCACACGATTATTACGACAATCATTTAAACAACGAGACAAAAACTTTTTTTAGACCAAAACGATCATTGACCATGCAATTTATTTCATTCTTTGTGTTTGTATTTTGGTCAAATTTAGTTGGAAAATGAAAATGAAAATGTTGTGTAATAATTCAAACATATAAGGTCCATGTTGTCGTTGTTGTTGATGATGATGAACATAATGATGGTCGAGGTAAAGTGCAATGGTGATTATAGTTATAGTGACGACGAGGAAGATGATGTGGTATGAATTTTCTGACTTGGATTGCAAGTTTTCTGCATTTTCTGCATTTTCTACATTTGCCATTTGTGATTGCGAATCATTTCCATTATTTCATTTTTTCCTATTGATGTTTGATGAGAGCAGCTGCATATTATGCATTCATTATTATGGAAATATGGAATACTTTTTTTGATTTGGATTCGGTCAATTTTCCTATTTCATTCTAAAGATCAAAGAGAAATGTTTCCATTTGAATATGAATGAAAATCTGAGAGACCAATTTTTACATCAACAAACAAACAAAAAAATTGACCAAATAAAGAGACACATTGACTGGAAAACAAAACAAGACGCAACAAGACGAAACAAGACAAAACAAAAAACAAATTGCGTAGGCCAAAAAAGTTTGCGGTGAGAGTGTAAATGATTATGATTATTATTATTATTAGTATATGATATGATGGTACAAATAAAGTAAAGAGTAAAAAATGAAATCACACGAAAGAGCATATCGGACTCAATTGGTGTTTCGAAAATGCATTTTTGAGACGATCGATGGATCGATCCACCGCATATTTAAACGAACGCCATTGTACTGCAAGATCAACAGATTCATCATTTGTACATTTGTTCTCAAGATAATCATCATCAAATCAAATTTTTTTTTCTGTCAAATACTTCAAATATGCTTCGAGTAAGTTTTCGTCTTTGAAAAATATCCCGAATCTCAGTGAAAATTCTTCTTCACACACACAAATTCAAATAATTCTCTTGTTTCTCATAGTTTATCGTTGTCGCATCGCTTATTGCTTATACCACAGCTGCCGGTTATGGCGGTGGTGGCGGTGGTGCTAGTAGTGGTGGTTCAAAAGGTGGTTATGGTGGTGGCGCTAGTAGTGGTGGATCAAAAGGTTCATCCGGTGGATATGGCGGTGGTAGCAGCTTAGGCGGCGGTATGGGATTTGGTGGTTTCGGTATGGGTGGCGGTTTCGGTGGTGGTGGTGGTGGTGGCGGTGGCGGTGGACAAACTGTACAAGCCGCAGTTGTATCTAATCATCGTGTTGAATTCAGAGACGTTCCATCAACTGGCGGTGCTGCTCCCACCACAATAGAAGTTGGAGGTATGTAAAAATGAATCACGTGATTGTTTGAAATTGATCAATCCTTTTCCATTTTCCATTTGTATTCTAGCCATGTCAGTTCCAGTGAATTTGCTCTTCAAATCAGCCAGTTCCAGTCTCAACATTCAACAAGCTCATGAAGGCGCTGGTGGTAGCGTCCAAGAATCGCAATCCGAAGACGAACCACATATTCTTAAACACAGCGTTACTAAACCAATTATTCAAGAGGTCAGTAATCATAAATATCAATAATTATCAATTGACATAATTACAATGATGATTTAGGTACATGAGGTGATAACGCCACAACGACGCATCACCCAAGAAATTAAACCTGTTGAAGAGGAAATTCTCACTATCGTTAGCCGCGATCAAGGTGGTGGTCAAGGTGGTGGTGCATCTGGTTTCGGTGGAATGGGTGGATTCGGTGGACTCGGAGGTCTCGGAGGCGGAAGTAAAGGTGGAGCCGGTGGTGGTGGTGGTTATGGTGGTGGTGCCAGTTCTTTCGGTGGCGGCAAATCTTTGGGTAGCAAAGGAGCATCGAAAGGTGGCTATTAAGCAGAATAGTGTGGAAAAGAATTGAAAATTATTTATATCCCGCTACGAATCATCATGTGACACCAAGTTTATCACTTATTTATTCAATCATCAGTTTGTATAAAAAAAGGCGGCAGTGTCAAAGTGCATTCAAACTTTGTTCACTGACGACTGACAGCGTCATGTATTTATTTATTTATTTACATAGAAATAAATTATGTCATTTTTCTATAAATTAAACTTTTACGCTTTACCGGTGTTTACCAATGACAACAACACAACACAGTTTGAACATGAACCGCATACAAATGGAGTAACAACAGTAGCCAATCGTTGATACACATGTTGACCACTAAATAACGCTATTTTTTTTTTCAAAAATAGGCGCAAGACCAACAACGATAAAAGAAATTCTTTTTGACTGAAGCCAATTTTAATTTGAAATTCAAATTCAAATGGTAATTCAAATCACAGATCACAGAGCATTGATTTTTTTTGAATGAAAAAGAAAATGTATGTTATCTATAGATTTGGCAAGTGATTCGTGATTCGTAATATAAAGAGATTATATGAGAACAAAATACAGACACATGATCATTTATCATGTTTGGTGCTGATATGACATCTGAGAGAGTTGACCTTTCGGAATCTGGCGCTACAATGCGGACATTTATGCGGTCGTACATGCGTATGTATGCGGTTGTGTTGTTTCAGATAACTCTTCCATCGGGTTGCAAAATCACATTGGCTGCATTTGAATGGTAGTATGGTCGAATGTGTGCGAATGTGTGCATTGAGATTATCCTTTCGACGAGTTGTATAATCACATTGACTGCATTTGTGAGGTCGCTTATCACTATGTATAGCACGGTGTTTATAAACACCTTTCTTGGTTTGGCTTGAGAAATCACACTGGTTGCATTTGTATGGTTTATCAGTGGAATATTTGCGACCACGACTTGGAGCAAGAAACTTTTTCCGATTACTGGAACAAACAGCAGGATTGCATGAAAGGACAACCAAATGTTTGTGCTTGTGTTTAGCAAAACATTTACTGGATTGTGTTGAAAAACTGCAATGATTGCATTTGAAAGGTATAGAATGTATGCGAATGTGTTCATCAAGACGATTTTTGTTTCCGGCTGCATAGCCACAATGGTCGCATTTGTATTGTTGGCAATCAATATGTTCAAGATTCGGTGATGAATTGTTTACTGGTTCCTTGTCTTCAGATATATCATTTGTAATCATAATTTCGTCGGCTGGTGTATGATGATGGTCGTCCAATGAGTCGACAATTGTGGTGTCGGAATCATATTCTTCAGATGATTGGCTTATTTGATTATCATTCAATTGATGACTACTTGTCGATTGTTGATGGAAATGTTGTCGAAATTGTTGCCACAACGATGCTATTTGTGTGCACAAACGGTCATATTTAGATTTGATGAGTTTTTGCATTGTTTCAAATCTTATTTCTAAAGCATCATTATGGTGATTGTTAGATGGTTGCATCACGTTTTGTGTTGATCCGAAAAGCTTGATGACGGTAGAATATTCCTAACACTGTGGTGAATGAATGGACATTTAATTAAAAATGAAAGTTTGGTCTGTTTTCTTACCTGGTTCTGTTAAAAGATGGTACAAGTATCTTCTGGATTCAACATTTGAGCAAAAAATTGAGCACATGGATGTAAACAAAACAAAACAATTTTGGTAACTCAATGAAAGACCGATAGATGGCATTAGTGGCAAAGGTGATGCGTTTTTTATGAATGAACCTCTTCTGAGTTGTTTCTCGCTGAAAAAAGGATGTGGTGTATTTTTGCTTTTGTGCATGCATTGAATGCGTGAGTAACTTGTGACTCATTCGTGATCCGTGATCCGTGATCCATGGTTTGGAGCACGTGTTTTTTGACTTGGTAAAAATGCGTTTTTACCAATTGATTTTTTTGTTTTTCATTTTGATATTATTCTCGATGATATTTATCAATTCGAATCAAACAAATTTTTATTTTCATTTTTAATTTTATTTCATGTTAAATCGCACCATCACTGAAATTATACAAAAATGTTGATTCATAAACGTGAGTTGCCTTTCCCTTTTATTCTTTTCTTTTTTTTCAAGTTTCTATCAGAAATGGGTTTTGGTTGAATTTGATTTTGATTTTTGATACGTCAAAAAAAACCCATGTTGTTTTTGTAATTTGTAATTATTGTTTTGTGGTTTTAATTTTAATTTAATTTATTAATTAATATTAATATTAATATTATGGTAATGTTCCGATTGTAATAAAGCATTGTCTTAATCACACTGGCTCATGCACACTTTTTGATCCAACTTGTTGCTCTCAAGCAAGTTGTGTTTGATGTTCATGTGTGTGCACAGAGAATTTTTATTTTTATTAATTTCACACACCACACAGGACACATTTGACATTTTATTTAATGTTATATTTTATTTTATTACTATTTATTACTATTATTATATTATTTTATATTTGTTATATCCATTGTATCCTTTTTTCCCTGATTGATTTGTATATTTTTGGATGCCCTGGTTGGCCATTGCCTAACTGTTTGGAAAGAATGAAAAATTTGTTTTTTTTATTTTATTTTAACGACGACCATTTTAACCGCCGTGGCAACCACAAAATTGGCCACAGCAGCGTCGCTGCAACCACAAAATCGGCCACAGCAGTCGCGGCAACCACAAAATCGGCCGCAGCAGTCGCTCATTGATGTTGACATTGGTATTGATATCGGTCAACATCAGCGATCGGAGCGTCGCCGCACAGAAAGAATGCGGCTGCTTCGGCAGCAGCAACAAGAGTTGGTGACAACTGTGATGGATTTGTGCAATCTGTTGCAGAATCCGGCACGAGGACCACCACCTTGTTAACTGGTAAGTGTTTGTGTGTGTAGTATATATTTCTAATATATAAAGATAAATTTAGCTAATCCAATTACAATTTTCCTTCAAATCATTTCCTTTTCTCATTTTACTCAATATTTCATTTGTTTGTGTTTGCTGAAGTTTCACGACGTATTTTTCGTTAACTCATCGAAATTCAGCGACCATCATTCTTTTTAATCTTTTTCTTGATGAAAATTTATCAATCATGGAAAAACAAATCATTTTTATTGTTTTTTTATTGATGGTATTGTTTTTTAATTTGTTTTCATCATATCCAATTCCAAAACCATCGTCAACATCATCGTCAATTCAATTCAAGGTTATTTTAAAAAAATCAACAGATTTTAACTCACAATTCATTGATCATTTCGATGACTAGTCTTTGATAAATAAATTTGATGAAAAAATAATCGAAAATTTGAACAAAAATTTGTGTCCATCATATCAATTTTCGTGAAGTGGAAAAAATTAACTTAATTTATACTATTGCCGGTATTTATGGTGAAATCTTTGATCATTATCCATCTATAAATGAACGTACTAAAGTACGTAATATGGCAAAATCAATTTTTGACGATCTTGTGAAGCAAAATGAAATTTTTGTTGATGGAAAATTCAAACAAAGAATTGAATCATATTTTAATTCAATTATCGATAATATCAGTAAAATAATGCAAGAAAATTTTAATATTAATCAGTGGATTGAACATTTCTTCTAGACTTGGATTCATAAAGATTTAGCAAAAAATTGGGTTATGATCACCTAGTGCCATTGCTGTGTTATACACGCGCCTGGACATTAAAAACAACCACCAACACAATAGAGATTAATGTCCATGTGTCAATGTTAAAATCATCATCATCATATCAATTGTTTTATTGTGCATGCCCTTTTTCATGATGGTTTTTCGAGCTACAGAAGCGGAAGCTTGGTATCGATGTCAGATTTCAATTCAAAAAACTGATAGAGGTTGAAACTGCCACCACAAACAGCATCATCGATATCATAGCAGTTATTGAAAACGTGGGAATACTTGAAACTTTTACAGGTGGATCCAACAAACAGACTATATATACGAAAAGAGATGTCTTTTTGGTTGATCCATCAATGGTCCGTGTTATATTTACATTATGGGATGACTTGGCCCGTGAATTCAATGGCAACCGGATTCAAGTTATTGCTATAAAAAATGCCATAGTCACGGACTATAAAGGAAAAAAAATATCGGCAAAAGAATCGACCAGAGTTTACATCAATCCACGCATACCAGAGAAATACAAAATCGGAACATGGTATCTAGCAAGATGGAGCATTGATCCATTATGGTTCCGGTCACTTTCTTATCACATGTTAACTTGTTACTATTATTACTGAACACCTTGTATCACAACGAAATCCAAGGTTTGATAAAGCAATTCGATGGTAGATTCGTTGATTTCAAAATCCATGACAACGAATTCGCTACATTTTCTTCGCCTTTTTATGTTAATCCGAATGATGTGAAAGAAAATTTACAAATTGAAAATATAGAACTCCAGGCTGATCTGGTATTGAAAACAAAATTTGTTGTACTACGATGTCTTCGCGCATGTGTTAATCTCAGATGTTGGCCCTGTGTCATCGAACATTTTATCTTTTTGATTTTGATCTGTAATTTTCTATTTAAGATAACACGTGTATTTCTTTGTCTTTTGAATTTGGTGGTAAAAACCCCTTAGATAATAAACTTTTGCCTGATGAATTTTCGGCTAAGAAATTTATGTTTATTTTTTCGTTTTTTCTACTCGTGAAATTTCGTTTACATTTCGTATCAGAACAAAGATTTGATAAAATTGATTTAATCGATTTTTATAAATGCCACGTATCAGGAGAAAAATATACCGAATTACGCTCGTTCGCACTTAAAATTTTCTCCTTGTTCGGAAGCACGTATGTGTGCGAACAATTTTTTTCAAGGATGAAATATAACAAATCAAAAATTCTGAAGTTATTCTTCTTGCGGAAAAATTTATGAGTTTAAAAGATCGTACCAAATCGATTGCGTCAAATGAAATAGCTATACAGTTAGCTATTTGTCTTCAAAAACGCTACCAATCTGTGATCACACCTTTTAATCTAGTGTGGTTTATTCGATATACAGGGGGGCCCATTTATAGCAGGACACTTTTTGAACACTTCGATTCAAAATACAATAACTTTGCGACTACAAAAGCTAGACAAGTTATGTTTTTTTTAAAATAACAGTTATAGATTACATAACATCTCCCAACAATGATCCATGTTTAAAAACGGTGGTAACAATCACCGGTAATGATGATGCTGAACTAACCAAACGTGAAATTACCAACAAGGTAATACCGGCACAGTACGGCATAAGGATCAAGGACACGGTAAAACTACGTGACGGGAAGTTCATGATAAATTTCAAAAGTCCTAGCAGCAAACAAAAATTTGAAAACGTCATCGCAACCGATGGCAGATTTCAGTTAAATGATTCGGGACGACCATTACCAACCGTACATTTAAAGGGATTAAACATGGCGTATGAAGAGGAACAAATCCCCGAACTTATCGCCCTGTACAATCCAGAAATTACTAAATTTCTAGAAGATAACCGTATGGAAGCGGCAAGCGCCATCGAAATAAAAAAGAAACGGCAAAACCCGGCAAAACCATATTTATGCAACGTGATCATGAGAGTAAGACCGGAGATCCGGAACCTCATGATAAATGAATTACATGGCCGTATCAACATCGAATACTCATACATCCATATCGAGGACATGAGTCCTCTTCGCCAGTTATCATTGCTTCGGATTTAAACACATAGCCGAGTATTGCCCGCGGAAAGGTCGTCAATACTGCCTACACTGCGGTGGCGAACACCTCATGGACCAATGTATAAACCGCGAGGAAGCTCCAACATGTATCAACTGTCGAATGGAAGGACTTCCAAATCACCGCAGTCACATCGCAACTAGCCGGGACTGTCCCGTCATGCTTCGTGTCATGAAAAACAGTTTAAATCGAACAGTTTATGGATAACAACCTACATCGACGAAAATACCAATTAACCGAATTCAAATTCGCCCAATTAAACGTAAACAAATCACCGACAGCTATGACGGCCTTTGCAAACTTTTCTGAAAGTAAATCCATCGACTTTATGTGTGTCACTGAACCACCAATTCGAAAAACAATTCCAAACATCAATCGTCGACTTAACGTAATTTATTGTCAATCAAACGAACCGAATGGTCCCGCGCCGGTCCGTGCTTGCATCTGTGTCCTTAATAAACGTATCCAACCGATTATGATATCCCATTTATCCAGTAGCGACTGTACGGTATGCCAACTTGGATCTGTCATTATCGTGGCGTTCTATGCTCAACCATATGGTGACATGAGTGACAATTGGACCAGAATTACAACCATTGCAGCATGGGCCGGCGTAAAAAACTTAATCGTAACCGGCGACTTCAACAGTGATCATCAAATTTGGTTCTCACATGCCACCAACAACAGAGGCTGTGATCTATTGACGACATTTATCCAATCTGGCCTAAGCGTAGTCAACAACACCGACACGCCAACATTCGACACGATCAGGGGCAACCAAAGGCTAACATCACATACCGATTTAACCGTGGCCTCATCATCAACATTGCCATTGATAAAAGATTGGAAAGTCAATAGTGAAACCAATTTCAGTGATCACCGCGTTATTACGTTTATGGTTAATATAAATGGTCAGTGGCAACAACCACCGCGACATACAACAGTGCGATGGAATACGAATAACGCAAATTGGGATGCGTGGGCAGATTCGGTAAAAAAAATTCACTGGAATGGCATAATTTAAATGACTACACCGTTAATAATGTTGATGATCCCGATTCACTTGACCTGGTTATTGCTAGCATCACGACAATCATAAAAACTGCATGTGACGAAAATCTACAAAAATTTAATGTCTATCGACGACGAAAGTTACCATGGCACAACGACGGTGAACTGAACCAGCTGGCTAATGACCAGAAAAGATCATATCGTAAAATTCGCCGATACCAAAAAGATCAAATTCCAGCGCGCTTACTTAACGAATATTGCCGGTTGCGAACTGGTATCACACAATGTTCGTAACTGGGCACGAAAAGCGGCCACCAGTAACCTGGAATTTAATTTTTAATCAATGTCTTCCAAAAGGCAATTCTTCAGATAATCAGATTTTGATGGCGCCCCAGGTTTGATAATCTGGAAAACAAAATTACACTCATATATACACGTCGAAGATATGAGCCCACTGCGACAATGCTGTAACGTATTTTGTGACGGGAATCGACAGCAGATCGCAACATATGACCGTTTAATCATCAGCAAAGAAAAAACAAAAAGACGAAAGTATAAAAGGGTGGAAAACTCCGTGTCGCGCAGAGTTCTTGTCAAAAATCATCGAGTGAGTATAACCAGTGTTTACCAAGTTTTCATGTTTCTAGTTGCTCGTGTTCTTGTGATTTCATCTTCTCATGTAATCATGTTTCCTTCAGTATTCACAACGGACATTGTTAATCAATCCTGGTTTGTCGTGTGAAAATTGAATCCTGCATCATCATAACCAAGCATTATCTCGGTCTTACCAAACGAATTGGAGTCATCGTGAATCAAACATTGAATTAACTGATTTTGTGCCTTGTATTTTTCATCTTCTTTATATTCATAATTCTCATCAATATTACTATTAAGAATCAATAAACTATTTCCAAATTGTGTTTTGAGTCTCGCGAGTTATTTCTGTTACAATGCTTTCATTATTTCGGTTTCAAACATATTGTTGAATTCTGCCGAGGGAAAAATCGTCAATATTGTCTACATTGTGGTGGTGACCACTTATTGGATCAATGCATTTTTTTTTTTTTTGCTACAGTATCCATTTTGTTTTGCTACATTTCAAATTTTTTATCGATATTATTCGTCACATTTTAAAGGATACATTTATTTGCTACAGTACAATTTTTTTTTGCTACATTTGAGGTTTATTTAAACCTCACCAATTGTCTTCCTAAATCTAAGGTTTATTTAAACCTCACTATAATATCCATATTTTTGCGGTATAACTATCAGTTATTTCCGGAATCGATTGTTTTGTGAATGTTTATTTGTTGTTTTTTGATATTAATGCAATGAACTGATCAGATATTGACACAATGGTTATCGGTGGAATGAATTCAATTGACAAGACCATGGCTAAATCCAACTGGAACGGATCAACAATGGCATTTTATGGGTGCCTTCCCCACTCGTTGTCCGCATGACCTCCTGATCTGTGTAAGTTGATCTGTGTGTGTTATCATTGAAATAAATAAATAAATATTAAAAACAAAGTGTCCAGTGTAATGATTGTGTATCAGGAGGCCCGATTATTGTTCCATGAAATTGTGGCAAGTGGTAGCTGCGAAATAGATGATGATGGTGATGGTGCATCTTGATGTGTGATTTCACCAATGGGAATGTGATGTAGTTCATTTGGAACGGGCAGTATGACGATGATAATAAATGTCATTTTGTTTGATGTTGCCTTGACCTGTCGACCTGTGTGATGTGTTGTGTGTGTGATATCACAGAAGGAAAATGAATAAATAATTAAAAACATAAGTGTGTTATGTCACGAGTGGTGTGTCGACAGGCCAATTGGTCGTTCCAAGAATCCGGGGCGGTGGATTATTTTTTTTTGTTTGTTTTTGTCGATAGTGCTGCCATCTGTTGTTTCATAAGGTAACTATGTTACCATTCATTGTTTACATTTGCCAGTGGATCAATCATGTGTATCGTAGATCATTTGCCGGTGAAGATTGGATCGATACATGTCAACCATCATGGCCAGTTGTTCATAAAAAGTGGCGGTAATTTTTAGTCGTTCATTATCACTGATTGCCCTTCTTTTTGCCGCAATAAAATCACTTCGTAATCGATTGGCCAGGGAACAATCATTTATCATATGGAGCACACTTTGATTTGGATAACCACAAGGACATTTTGCATCATCAATAAAGCCAAAACGTTTTAAATGTTCACCAAATTGCCCATGGCCTGTCAACGTTTGTGATAACCAAAAGTTCGAAAATGGGGCAAACTGCCTAGCATTACCAACAGTAGGGCAGATTAATTTCACGGTGGTTCCAAATTTATTCGTCCGATACATTTCGTCCCATTCTGAGAGAATGTTTGTATGTGTTATTCTCTTGACATTGGCCATTGGAATCAATTTGTAAACGAACGAGTGATTAGAATTGGCAATTCGTTTGGCGATCTTTTTACATTTTCGGTAAATATCATCGGCACGGTCCGCTTTTCTCCATACGATTGCCACTTTGTTTGTACACGAGCTAAGAATTTTCTTCGCCAGGTTTTCAATTTTGTTGGCATCTTTTTTCATTAGATGGACCAGTGCACCAAGGTTGTTGTTCACCACGTAGGTCGGATTCCGATGCGGCCAGTTAGTGTTGACCCATCTTGTTGCTTGTAGTATGGCCAAATGATCCGCTTGCAACAAGGAACAATAGTTGGGCAGTCGGTATACCATCGTGTCAATAATTGATTGGCCACGGCAAAAAGCTATACTGCAGCCTATACCTCGCCTGGTTTTCGTTGTTTTGGTAAAAACATAATACTCCGGCACCACCGTAGCATCACCAGTTAAAATCATTGGTCTAGATCCGGGATCAATTTCAGATTCGTCAGGTGCATCCACTTCCAACCATTCGTCATGCGAAATTTGAAAACTACGACGAATTTTGGCCAGATTAATTATTCCACGCTCGAGAATTTGTAGATAGAATGGCATCATGTCAGTGATCGCGGTGGTTGAAATAAAAGCGGCAGTGCGATATGATTTACAAGCCAATTGAGCCATGGGACATTGGAGCCGACGGATTTCATCTTGGATTGCTTTGAATTTCATGGCCTTCATAAAAACAGCACTACCGTACATTAAAATCGGCGCAATGACGGACTGGACCAGCTGATGTATCACCTTACAGCCCAAACCATATTTGGATCTCGCCATGCCAAGAATTTGTCGAAAGATTCGGGTTGCTTTATCAACGATATAATGTACGTGTGGTCTAAAGTCCATTTTTTTGTCGATGATTATACCCAGGATTTTCATTTTATCACTTAACTCGATCTCGTTGTTATCGACAATAATTGGCGGTATGGTTGGTGGATTCAGTTTCCTGGTCATGACCACCACGTTTGTTTTATCAGCAGCCAGTTTTAATTTATTTCCATCGCACCAAGACCTGGTAGCAGCAATCAGCCGCCTTGTCGATTCGACTGAGGCCATTAACCGTTTTATCAGCCACCACGGTAACAATATCATCGGCATAGGCTTGCACATGTATGCCAGGTCCATGGTCGCGCTGTAGATATTCATCAATGATTATATTCCAAAAAAGCGGACCAAGTACCGAGCCTTGAACCGTACCACAGTTCGTTTCTTTGACCCGGGTAACGCCACCAAATGTTGTGACGATTCGTCTATCATGGTTGTAGTTGGCAATCATTTTAACCAAATAATCGGGCATATTCATATTAATCAGCCGTTGAATTAGTCCAGGTGGCCACGCGTGATTAAACGCTCCTTTAATGTCCATTGAAACCAACGCCACATGCCTTTTTTTACGAATATTTGATTCGACGTTGTCCGTTAATTCAATCAGGGCATGTTCTGTGGACCGTTTTTTCATAAACCCAAATTGTTTCACAGAAATTGGGCAGTTATCATTCATAAATTTACGGATGCGGTTTGCCATCACGGTCTCGAGCATTTTGGCCAAAATTGATAATAACCCAATAGGGCGGTAACTGCCGGATTTATCATATGATTCACGTCCGGGCTTGGGGATGATTCGAACGACTGAGATTTTCCAGAGGTACGGAACATATGACAGCCTTAAACAGCAGTTGATGATGGCAACCATAATGTCAAGGTGATGGGCGAAGAACTTTTTGCAAATGATCGGTGAAAGATTATCCATGCCTGGCGATTTGTCATTTTTGACCCGCTGTATGCTATTCAGTAATTCGACCGGTGATACTGATTCGTATGATGAATTGACGCCCGAATGTGATGAAATCCAATCGTTAATCGAGGCACGTACTGCGGCCTGTTGCTGTGAATCTGAATCGACATGATCACTGGGAAATAAATCGTCCACCAAGTTTTGAACCGTACTATCCGGACTATCGCAGTTAACAAATGTACGTGCAGGTAGTATATTTTGGCCCTTCAGCATGCGACACACACGCTGGTAATGGTCCTGGTCGTTTTGGCCAAAGATATCCTTGCGAAGCTGCTCTGCTCGTAGAATGTCCAGACGGGTTCTGTAATCAGTTCTCTGCCGCTGGTATTCGTTGTTTAGCGATATCCATCTCGATTGGTTGAAACACCGCCGCATCTTCCGGTATGTAGACGTTTGTTGGTGAGCAATACGTTTCAATTCTTCATCGTTATACCATGGCGTCTTGCGCCGTCTACATTGGGCGTACCGGGAAAAATGCAGATCACATGATGATTTAATGCAAGAAGTAACACATGCGACGGTGTAATCGATGGATTCCGGTTCGGTGATGGAATTGATGTAATCACAATTTAGATTATGGTCATCAAGTTCTTGTCGAATGGTGTTTGCCCAAGACTCCCAATCAACATTGGTGGTGTTCCATCTGGTGGTGGACGACGTGGTTATCATGCTTGGTTTGTTTACAATTTCAAAAACAATGACACGGTGATCACTCATATTTACTTCGTCGACAACTCGCCAACTTTTGATGTAATTGATGATTGTGGATGATGCAATGGTTAAATCAATGTGTGATGTTAGTCGACGATTGGCCCGGATGGTGTCATAAGTTGGAACGTCGCAGTCATTGATTGTGTCAAGGTTATGTTGAATCATCGTAGCCAGCAGCTCTTCACCACGTTTGTCGATGTACTTTGCGAACCAGTGTTTATGCGAAGCATTAAAATCTCCTGCGATGATTAACCCCCTACCCCCCCCATAGTTGGACACATCGGCAATACGGCGCAGGAATGGTGTGGTGTCAGATGATGGTTCTACGTATGCCGATGTAATGATGATGTCCCCAATTTGAATTGTGATAAAATCCTGGTTCGACAAGTGAGTGATGATCATAGGTTGAATTGATGGATTGAGAATACATATGCAGGAGCGAACTCGACTGCTGTCATCAGATGGTGTGATATAAAATGGCCGGAATTTGTTATTGATGTTCGGTACACCCTTTTTGATAGGTGGCTCGCTGATGATTAAAATATCGATTTTATGATGTGTGGAATAGTCGAGAAATGAATTGAGAGCAGCTGGTGAATGATTTACGTTAAGTTGAGCAACTTTAATATCGGGAAAATTTTTACTGGACGTATTGAATGCGACTGATTATCCTTTTTAACATTCGTTGGTAGACCGGGCATTTTGTGTCAGTAGTTCGGTGAGACGGAACATCCGTGATTCGATTTTTGTAGCAGTTGATGCAGAATGGATAATCATTTCGATGTTGGCATTGTTCAAAATTATGATCGCCACCACAATGCAAACAAGTTGGCCTATCTTCTCGGCAGTTGTTTTGATGATGGTTGAAGCCTTGACATTTGTAACATCGGTGAAGTGGATTCATGTCCTCTGCATGCACATAATTATAATCAATATTTACACGACCATACAATTGATTTATGATGATATCTCTAATTGCCGGAATAACCCGTATGCCGAAGTTGGCGAACTTTTGTGGATTTTTATTCGGCCTTTCGAAACATACTTCAATTGCGTTTTCCATCTCAATCTGGTGAGTTTCTAGGTAGTCAGCAATTACTATGTTGAAGAATGTGATCATACCAGGCAATTCGTGTTTCGATATGTCCTTCCTAACCCCCTTTAGATAAATGATTGGATTTCTTTTCTTTTCGTTTTCACATTTCCATCCTTCTGTCTTGGTAGCGATTTGGTCGAACTTTTCCTTACTGCTTGGGCTCTCGAACCGCAGGGCAAATTTCCCATTGGATAAGCTGGCTGTTTCTTTGACTTTTATACCATGTTCAATTGGGACTATTCGTTGCGCGATTTCTTTACGGACGTTTTCAGCATCTTCATTGCCAACAATTGATACAACACTACCCAGGTTTGGATGTCCTTGGGCGGCCGTCATTTTAACAATACTGGCGAAGGACTCCGGCCGTTGGTACTCTACAGTCTCTGGCGGGATATCACTTCTCGTCATTTTTTCATTGATTGATTCGATCGACTTTTTCATTTCTTTTAGTTGTTCGAAGATGGCGATGTTGCTGATTTTTATAAAAGAAATTTTATTATCAATACGCCAGGATTGGCAATGGCCAACCAATATGTTATCAATTACAATTCATGAAAATCATTAAACAATTCATATCATATAAAAAGAGAAGAAAAAATAACAAAAATAAAATAATAATAAAGAAAAAAAAGGCATTTTCATGTAAAAATTCCACTTGTTCCGGTATTGATTCAGGTTCCATTTTTTCGATCGGCAGTTTGGTTGATTATATTTAAGTATGGGGAGAATAATCGTTCGTACATTAACGGCAATGCAATCATGAATCGGCATTTTGACGGTGATGGTGGTGATATGATGATGGTTACAGCTGGAAAGATTGACAATGGTGGTGGATCAATTTTGGCGATATTTTGTTGTTGTTGTTGTCGATGGTGTTGATGATGGTGATGATGAAAGATGGCCACAAGGGCTATAGCACAATTCGGTGGTAAGTGTCACAACGCTGTGGCAACAGGTTGGCACGAATAATAATGGTCACAGAAGCGGTGGTTGGATCGAGAAAACGACACATGCATTGATATCACAAATGGTCGATATTGTCACAGATTGCGGTGATGATAACCAATATCGGATAAGAAATGTTGGATTGACGATGATTGGTGATGATAATGATGATGTTGGTCAAGGGAAATTCACAAGATGATGATGGTTGATGGTGATGATATGACATGTATCAGCACCAGATTCGAAACACGGATTTTCACAGGAATAATGTCACAACATTGGTAACCAATGCTGGCACAGGCAAAAATCGTGATCATAAACAGTTTGTTGAAAATAATAAAGAAAAAATCACAGAACATAACACAACTACAATTATCATTCGCTAGTTGAGATTAGGTCCAGTAAAACACAATGTCTGTTGCTTTGATGGTTGCTTTTATATGGTTTGTTTATGTTTCTCGAAATTTCTCGATGTTGTTGGTTGTGCTCAATTAATGGTCGAGCATGATGATGATGAACGATGAGCAACTGGTTACATTGGTTTATGCCGCTACCATCAACTGGTATTGGTCGTTGTTGCTCATGGCTGCTACTATTGATGACTATGGTTGGCAATGTTGATTCGACAATCAATACTCGCTGCTATACAAATGGATGAGCTATCTTCGGCTATATCGATTGAGCGTCGACCAACAGTCGACTATTTCATTTGTTTATATTGACAATAAATTAAATCTGCAATTATCAACTCGATTCCGATTCTTCGGTATACGATCCATGGATTTGACCTGTTGAATACCACTTGTTGCCCATGATGACTTTTAATGTGTGTAAGTGTTTTTGTGTTTTATGTTTGTGTTTTAATTTGTGTTTTAATGTGTTTTATGTTTTTATTATAGCAGTAACCAATTAGCTAGGATTTTCAAATTAATTTAACTTATCTGTGATAATATTTTGTTTCTATTGACATATTTATAATTTTTCAATTGACTAGGATTTTCAAATCGACTATAATTAATAGACAATTAAAATTTTCAGATAAATCATCTGTGATAGATACTTATTTGTTCAACATCTGTGATTTAGGATTTTTCAATTTAGGATTAATAAATTAATGTTGACTATGGATTTTTCATTATTGACTATAAAATTTTTCAGATTTATGAATTGGTTACTAATTACTAATTAATCATTTTATGGGTTTTAGATTTATCTGGTTAACGATATACGATTACCCAGCCAGATTTAAATAGGTAGAGAATGCCTATTTCAGCCCTATTTGGTTACTGCCAACTATTGTGTGTAAATATTATGTGTATATGGTACAAATTGAATACATGTGTATATGTTTATTTTTGGAACATGAAGGTGTAAGATCTGCAACCAATGGCGGCCATTTACGGTATGCCATCCAGAAGAGCCATGGTGCATCAATGAACAATATGTTTATGTGTATGGTATGAATTGTTTGTGTTGTTATCAATAAAATCGGCTGTTTTGACAACAGCAATAAAACAAAGGTAAAAATCAGCTGTGTTCTGTGTAAATGTGTATATTGTTCATGTGATTGATCGAAGGTAAGTAAATAATAAATAAATAAATTGGTACCTATAGTGTATAGTGCAAGATCTGCAGCCAATGGCGGCCATTTACGGTATGCCATCCAGAAAAGCCATGGCGCATCAATGAACAATATCTGTGTATGGAATGTATGTATATGTGTTGTTATCAATAAAATCAGCTGTTATAACAGCAGAAATAAAACAAAAGTAAAAATCAGCTGTGTCCTGTGTGAATGTGTATATTGTTCATGTGACTGATCGGAAAATAAATAAATAAATAAATTAATAATGTGTATATATGTGTGTATTCAATGTGTGTAGTCATCATGGTTGGTGGCAAATTTGAATTGATGATAATCTTATCCATGGTCATTATCCGTTGTTGTGATTGATTGGCGATTATTACCACTGTGCAGATTTTTCCTGTATATGTCCACCAGCATAGCAATTTGTTCGTATAGAACAGCTGTGGCTCTAATTCGGTCAATTGGCTTCATAGCAGATTGTTGAGTCAATAAATGATCGCGTCGAAGACGTTCCGATAGTGGACATTCATTTAGCATGTGTAAAACAGATTGATTTTGATTACCACATGGGCATTTAGCATCATCGATGAATCCGAATCTCTTCAGAAATTCCCCAAACTGTCCATGTCCTGTCAGTGTTTGGGTTAACCAGAAATTGTTAAATGGCCAAAATTTTCTTGCATCACCAACGTTTGGGCATAATTTTTTAATCGTTGTGCCAAATTTATCACGATGATAATATCGGTTCCAGTTTATCAGGGCAGTTTTCATTTCCATCTTTTTGATTGTGGCCATTGGAATTTTTTCATAGTCAAATGTTTGTTTTAATCTGGCCGTCGACATTAGCATCTTTTTTAATTTAACTAATTTTCTATCGCTTCGATCCATTTTAACCCACGCAATGACCATGTTTGTTGGTGTTGATTCAATAATTTGTTTCGCCAGATTCGATACTTTACTGTGATTTTTCTTTTTAATATGGCTGATTGCACCTAGATTATTATTCAAAATTGTAATGGCCGCTTCGTTGCTATATTTTTCTTTACAAAAATCGATCGCTTTTGAAATCACAAACAGGTCAGCTTGCAAATTAGAGCAATATGTAGGCAGCCGATAAGTTACAGTACCGATAAAATACGTTCCATTGAATAATTGGAACCCACATCCGATTCCATGTCTTGTTCGAATCGATTTTGTATACATTTGGTAGAATGTTCGCGTAAATGGTTGGCCGCAATAGATTCGTGGATAAGCATTAACATCAATCCTTGTTTCATCTGGTACATCGACAACCAAACGATTTTCATTCATTTTATATTTTTTCTTGATTCTGGCCAAAGCTATATTTGCCTGTTTCATGATTTCCAAATGCAGTGGCAACATATCAGCAATTGCGGTGGTGGAGACAAATGCCGCGGATCGATATGATTTTGTTATCAGCTGGGCAATCGGCCTCTGGAACTGCCTCAGTTCCTTTTGTATAAACACATAATTAATTGCTCGGTGCCATGCTGCGCACCCATAGGTAATAATTGGCACTATTATCGAATTGTATAATTGTTTAATAATCTTCGGCCCAAGGCCATACTTCGAGCGTGCGAAACCGATTATCTGCCTGTATATTCTCGTACATTTGTCAATGGCCAATCTAACATGGGATCTGAAGTCGATTTTCCTGTCAAAAATCACGCCCAGCACTTTTGTTTCATTGCTGTATGCAATATCGTGGCCGTTTATGTTGATGATTGGAATGGGCGTTGGTCTTATTTTTCTCGACATCGGCACAATTGTTGTTTTATCGGAAGCTAAGGTCAGCTTATTTTCGTTACACCATTCTATTGCCATTACCAGTAATTCTTTTATGGAAGCAGCCAGGTCATCCGGCTTTTTCTTTGCCACCACTGCAGTTATATCATCGGCATATGCCTGGACATGTATTCCAGAAAAATCCTTCTGCAGGAAACCATCGATAACAATATTCCAAATTAATGGACCTAAGATCGATCCTTGAACCGTTCCCTTGTTAGTGGGCTTGAAGCCAGTGATGCCACTATAATTTGTGACCACACGCCGGTCTTTCATGTAGTTGATCATTAATTTAATTAAATATTCTGGCAAATCCATATCGATAAGTTTTTTGATGATACCAGGTGGCCAGGCATTGTTGAAGGCACCTTTTATATCCAATGAAACTAATGCAACCAATTCCTTCTCGTTTAGTTTGGATTCAATTTTCGATTTCAATTCTAATAATGCGTGTTCGGTGGATCGGCGATGCATGAACCCATATTGATATTTGGACAACGGACAATTTGCTTCCATATGATTTTTTATTCGATTTGCCATGATAGCTTCCAATGCTTTAGACAATATTGGTAGCAAGCCAATAGGCCGATAACTATTGGATTTATCATACGTCGGCCGTCCGGGTTTCGGTATTATCTTGACCACCGATATTTTCCAAATATACGGAAAGTGCGATAACCGAAGACATGCATTCATGATTGCCACCAAAATATCCGGAAAGAAAGCCATCACTTTTTTACAGATTATCGGTGAGAAATTATCATAACCGGGTGCTTTGTTATTTTTCGTTTTACCAATGATATTTAACAATTCCAAGGTAGACACCTGTTGATAGCCATATCTAATGTTTTCATGATCGTGCTTCCATTCATCCACCATAGATCTAATGTTTGCCTGTTGAGAAGTATCATTATCCGCCATATCATTAGGAAATAAATCATTAAGCAAGGTGTCAACTGTATCCTGTGGACCGGTACTATTGGAGAATGTCCTGGCTGGAACAATTTTTTCATGTTTCAACAGTCGGCACATACGCTGGTAGTGATCATCATTATTGTCGCCGAAGATTTCTTTCCGTAAATGGATTTCTTTGAGCGTCTCCACACGTTTTCGATAATCCGATCGCAGCTTTTGATAATCTTGAATCAGGACAAGTTTTCTGTCGTGATTGTAACATCTGTTTATTTTTCGATAAATTTTCTTTTGCTCGACGCCCAGTTTTTCCAATTCATCATCTTTCATCCAAGGCAGCTTTCGTTTCCGATTTCGATTATATCGTACAAGGTTTTCTTCACATGCCCATCTAATAGATGACACAAAAATATTGACAGTTGCATCCAAATCGCCACTATAATCAATGTTGTTGATGTACGTTTCATTAAGATCATAATCGTTAAAATAATTTTCCAAACATCGAGCCCACTCGTTCCAATCGACAACAGATGTGTTCCAACGAACAGTGGAAGGCGATACCTTTGGCAAGTCAACATGTTTGTTAACGATAAAAACAATTACCCGGTGATCGCTCATTTGCACATCTTCGATAACTTGCCAATTTGTAATGCGGTCGATAATGGACATTGATGCAACAGTTAAATCAATATGCGAAGTCAACCGTCGATCTCCTCGAATGGTATCAAAAGTGGGCGTATTTGAATCATTAACAATATCCAAATTATTTTGAATGACCGCTGCCAGAAATTCATCTCCATGATTGTCATTGTAGCTCGCTCCCCAATATTTATTATTGGCATTCATATCCCCAGCAATGATAAGATCACGACCATTGGCGTAATTAACAGTGTTTGTAATATTATTTAAAATTGGATTTATTGAATCGACCGGGTGAGCATAAACGGAAACAAGAATAAAATTGTTAAAATCGCATACTAAAAAATCCGGCGTTGATAAATGTGAAATAATGATTGGTTGGAGTTTCGGATTGAGTATACACATGCACGCTCGTACTCTTTGATTATTATTTGTCGGTGCAATAAATATTGGACATAATCTCTTTGGAATGTTTGGAAGTGTTTGTTTCGTCGGTGGTTCTGAAATTAATGCAATGTCGATATTTTTGTTGTTACAATAATTTAAAAATGCTGTAGTCGCAGCTGGTGAATGGTTCGTGTTTAATTGTGCAATTTTAGTCTGGTTAAAATCTTTTCTTGAATTATCCATAATGGATACGATCGATCATCCTTTTTAATTGTTTTTGAAATACCGGGCACCAATTATCGGTAGCCATGTGGGCCGGAACATTTCTGATTCGATTTTTATAACAATTAATACACGCCGGTTCCAATCGTTGATTCGTACAATTTCCATGACTATGTGCTCCAGCACAGTGTGGGCAAACTGGTTGCGGTTCACGACAATTGGCTGCATGATGATGGAAACCATAACAATTGTAACATTGATGTAATGGATTTAAATCTTCAGCATGGACATATGAGTAATCAATGTTTACTCTTCCTTGCATTTGGTTTATGATTATTTCTCTAATACCAGCGTCGACACGTAAACCATAATTCCAAAATTTGGTTGGTTGTTTGTTTTTTCGATCGAAGCAAATTTCCATACATTGTTCAACTTCCAATTTGTTTTCATGCATATAGTTTGTGATTAAAACATTAAACGATCCAATCATTTGTGGGATGTCCTCTTTCTTGATATCTAATCGTACTCCTTTAAGATACACGATTGGATTACGCTTACGTTGATCTTCAGCAATAAAATCTTTATTTTGTTTGACTAGATCATCGAATTTCTTTTTATTATCTTCGTTTGCGAATTTGACCATAAATTTTCCTTTGGATAAAGCTGCCGTTTCCTTAATAACGATACCATGTGCAGCAGGAATGATTTTACTAGCTAGAGCTCTTCTTGTTTGCTCAGCGTCTTCATTGTTTGGCATTGATACCACTGTTCCCAGCAACGGCTTTTTCACCGCAACCGATTTTTTAACCATATCTGCAAATGTACTTGGTCGGTAATCATTTGGTTGAGTTTCAGTTTCGGCATTGATTTTCTTTGAGAAGCTATCAATTGTTTCTTTCATGTGTTTTAGTTGTTCACAGATATCAGCATTGGTTGTCTTTTTCTTTTTATCTGGTTTAGAAACTAATTGTTGCTCGACGCTGGCTAATTTGCTACGTAAGTTACTAACCTCAACCTGAAGTCCGCGCACCGTTTTTAATGCCAGAATCAATTTCATTTTGGTATCCTCACCGACATTTTCTAATTGCATCGCGTCCTTAAGCACCAGCTCGACAAATTGAATATCGCTTTCTTTCGCATATGAATTATGTTTCGAATTTTCACTCACCGAAGATCCATTTATCTTTTCAATCACAGTTGTGAGACATCGCTGATCAATTGCTGCTTCCTCGTGAATGGATGAAATTACTGACCCATTGTCTGTTTGGATATGGTCAAGATGTTGATCGTCCATTTGTTGGTCGTTATTTTCATCATCCTCGTACACGTCCTCTATGATTATTTTGTTGGATGTTGTTGGTTGTTGACCCTTACTGTTGTGACGCTGCATTTTGGTATCGGTGTTGTCAACAGGTGATGATTGCTTGCGTTTGAATCGGCCGTTTTTATCTCGGGGCATAGGCTTTCGATGACGTGTAACAGGTATTTTCGATGAAGATGGAATGTCCAGCTGGTAGCAGATATCCAGGATAGCTGACGCTGGATAGGTCGATGGTGGCGGATCAATTTTGGCGATATTTTGTTGTTGTTGTTGTCGATGGTGTTGATGATGGTGATGATGAAAGATGGCCACAAGGGCTATAGCACAATTCGGTGGTAAGTGTCACAACGCTGTGGCAACAGGTTGGCACGAATAATAATGGTCACAGAAGCGGTGGTTGGATCGAGAAAACGACACATGCATTGATATCACAAATGGTCGATATTGTCACAGATTGCGGTGATGATAACCAATATCGGATAAGAAATGTTGGATTGACGATGATTGGTGATGATAATGATGATGTTGGTCAAGGGAAATTCACAAGATGATGATGGTTGATGGTGATGATATGACATGTATCAGCACTTTTAAATATAAAACTAATCTTTATTTCTTTTCCATATAGGTCGGCGATGGCCAACCAAGACATCAAGAAAATACAAAAATCGCAAGAAAAAGAAATCAATCAATCAATGGATAAAAATAAAACAAACAATAAAATAAAAGAGAAAAAAAAATAACAAATAAAATAAAAATTAAATAAAAATTATGATTTCCAATATTAAAAAAACGTGTTCTTTGTGTATGTGTGTACAAATGAAAAAGAAAATCCAGATTCCTGTAAGTGTGGAGACAGACACGACTTGAGAGCCAATGAATGGATCAAGGAATGTAAGTCGGTGTGTATGTGCTGAATGTCTGTTGTGTGTTGTGTATGTCTGTGTATGTTGAAAACTTGAAAGAAAAATATGATGATTAAAATAATGGCAATGGTGATTGTAAATAGAGATCAATAGTTGTTTGAACAGCAACTAGGTGTGGTGTCTCGCAAGATTTTCTGTTGAAAAATTTCGATTTATATATTTGCCAAAAATTTGGTTGTCTATACTGTTGGCAATATAATTTACTTGTTTGGGGGAAACGATGGGGAAAAAACAGAAAAAAAAAAGAAAAAAAAACTACCAAGACTAAGACGATTGGTTGGATTAATGGTCGTTTTTTCATTTGTACATAGCAGGATGGGGAAAAATGAAAGGGGAAAAAATTTTTACTATCTTGAAAGTTCATAGACTGATTGGTGATCTGATTTTTGACTGGCAGAAGTATGTATTGGCTGCTATCTCTAACATATTTCTATATTTCCAATACAAGATTAATCATGATAGTAGTTTTTGACATATAGCCTGACATTTCGTGTGTTCAATTGATCTGTCAGTTTGATGTGAATCGAATTTGGCGGTAAAGTGTGTGTATAAGAAATACATGCGTGAAATTTGTGACATGTGTATTGTTGACAATTTTTGCTGGTATTGACTTACATTGACATTTAATTGTATGCATGCATTTGGATGACGAAGTGGCCAAGTTTTTCATATCGACTAAAATCATTTCGACTTTTACTAATCTTTGTTGCAATTTGAAGATGGTGAGACCTATGTATGATGATTGATTTCGATGATTCGATGGCCAGAAATCGATTGTTCTTGACCAAGCTTTTGTTTTGACTCATTTATTTGTTGTTGTCAATCACGGCTATTGTTCTTTGATTTCGTCGTTGGTTGGATTATTCTGGTAAGCTATCTGTGATATCAATTGTTCCATATTAATTATTTCATTTTCGTTATTTGCAGGTAATGGTGTTGAAGACTGGTCAATCATGCTGTGATATTATTGGCAATTATTTTGAAAAGAATTTTTCTTATTGATGATGATTAATTATTTTGTGTTTCTTATTATTATAGATGATGATGTCGATGAATCTAGTCAACCATACTGTGATATTATTATCAATTATTATTCCGGTTGTTTATGGTTATTTTTCATTATTCTTGTTATTGACTTTTTCTTGCTGGACACAATTATGATATAAGGTGATATTGAAATTTCCTGAATCGATATTCTTGTTGATTCTTTATTTTCCAGGCTGGTTTCATCAAATTCTTTATCGGCTGATTTTACGTGGTATGTGTTGTTTTTATTTTTGAATTCTTGTTAATTTTACTTGTCGTTTTTATTCAGCTGGTTGACTGTGATCAAGATACCTGTGATACTTTATATATTTTAGCAATGACGTTTTTATCTCGTTGGTTTTATCGTAATTTGGCTTGATGGATGTTGTTAATCTTTGTTGACAATTCTAAATTCGTTACAACTTGTTATTATCTATGTAAAAATTATTGGTTGGAAAAATCGATCGAAAATGATGGATGGTATGATTATTCAAGACAATGAGCTACCGGATGGAAATTTCAAGCTGGTTCGATGTTTGGATTGATTATGCCATGATTTATCTGTTTTGAATATTCTTACTTGTTTGATTGTAAAATTTTTTCATGTATGGTTGTAATCTTATTATTTGATATAGGTCGATTCACTTGTTGCACTTGGCGGCAGACTGGATGGAATCAATGTATTTGATATGATGGAACAGACGATGTAGATGTATTTGATATGATGGAACAGACGATGTAGATGTACTTGATAATTTGAATTATGGATACCGCCTTTAGTACAGTACATCTATCATTTATATATGTTGTGGCTGTAAATTCGGAAAAAAAAAAAATTTTTGTCGCGATATGCTGGGATCGTCGGTTCGTTGATTCTGTTTATAGGAGACCACCGAACAACGGCACGCAACAGTGGCTATTAACGGGAGCCACCCTGGGACTGTTGGTGCTCGTGACCATCATGTTGCCCCTTGTTGTATCCGATGTATGTAACTAATTGTCTAGGATTCGTGTTGTGTTACCTGTAAATGTAATACATCGGTTGAGTTACTGTAGGTGTTATTGGTATGTTGTTGTGTGGATGGTCACGTTGTTGTGGTGGTCATGGCCAATGCTCCCGGGTTGCTTGACAGTAGCTGTTTACGGGAGCCACCCTGACACTGTCATTCTGGTACTGCAATGTATATGTGTGTTTTGTCTATATATGTTTGTTAAGGTTGTCGTGTCTTGTGTAAATACAATCTGGTTCGATGTGTCTTCTACCAGTTCTGTAGTTGGTGAAAAGATTGTATCGATTGAATAAATTACATGATAAAATCTGGTGTGGGTGTCATAAAAACTATTGTGTGTGTTGTGTCAGGCAGATACCAGTGCATTTCCTTCCCTAGCATAGCTAGGTTAGGTCATGGTGGGTGTTGGCGGTGAATTGACCTTCGATGATCGTCTGCGAAGATGGCAATGTTTTCGAAGAAGGTTGCTGTCAATTTTATTCTTGTTTTTGGATCGGTGATGTGGCTAGTTGATTGTCGGTAGTCACGTCTAAGTCTATTTAACATTCGGCAATCATTGATTAGGTGTGCAACCGATTGAAAAGGATGACCACAACAACATTTTTTATCGTCAGAGATGCCGAACTTTGAGAGATAAGCCCCAAATTGGCCATGGCCAGTAATGGTTTGTGTAACGAATTTGTTGATATAAGGCGTATACATACGTGCATCTTGTACATTGGGACATATCATTCGAATGTTTGAGCCAAATCTATCTCGCCGATATATATCATTCCAGCTAATTAACATCCTGTTTTGTTCAAATTTCTTGATAAACGACATTGGTACTCGTTGATAATCAACTTGTCGTTGTTGATTGTTGGCTGTTGATCTGGCGTATTTTTTAAGCTTCCGATACCAGTTTTCTCCTTTATCGATTTTATTCCATACTATAACGATATTGTTTTCAATGTTGTCAATCAATTCATTAGCCAATCGTTGTCTGTTTTTCCTGTCCTGCCGATTGACGTGTTGCACGGTGCTGATATTGTTGGTTATGATATAAGTTGTCTGATTATTGTTTTGATTCTTAAACCAGCACGTAGCATTGATCATCGTGAATAAATCAGCCTGTTGTATTGTGCAGAAAAGAGGCAATCGATAGTGTTTGTGGAAAATGATGTGTTCGTGATCAAAGACCATGAAGGCAGAGCCGATCCCATGATTGGTTTTGATGGATTTAATGAAGATTCTACTAGGTGGTTGGACTGATGGTTCGCGAATTATTGTTGTCAATTTACTCGTAGAGTCATTGATTATGTTATCATTTATATCGACATTAAGTGATGTATCATAAAGTGTATACATACCTGTTACTCTTGCATTCACCACTGCAGCTCTATACTTTATAAAGATTTCAACAGGTGGGAAGTCGGCCAACGCAGTTACCGAGATATATGATGAAGTACGGTAAGCTTTGACTGCTGATTGGGCGATTGGTCTGACCAGTTGTCTGAGATTTTTCTGGATGTGTTTGAATCTGACCGCCTTATGTGTGATAACTGCACCGTATGATAATATCGGCTCTGTGATACTGTGATAAATCATTCTGAGCACTTCCGAACTTAAGCCAAATGTTTTTCTTGCAATACTGGTGACAGATTTATTGATTTTTGCTGTTTTTTGAATGACGTGGTGAATATGTGGCCTGTAATCCAATCGTCGGTCGATATATACGCCCAGGATTTTTATCTTGTCTGTTGGTTCAATGATTGTTCCATTCATTCGGATTGGAGCATATACTGGTCTTCTGATTTTCCGTGATACGTACATTATTTTTGTTTTGGTGTCGGAGAAAGTCAGTTTCGTTTTATGGCCCCAATTCAGCACTTTATCAAGGATATTGTTGATTTTGATGGTAAAATATTTGATGCAATCACATGGTATAAGTATTGTCACGTCATCGGCGTATGCTTGTACTTTAACATCATCACCAAAATTTAGGCTGAGGAGATCATTCACGACTAAGTTCCACATGAGTGGCCCTAGCATAGACCCCTGTACAGTACCACGATTTGTTGATTTGCTACAGGTGACGCCACCGTAGTTTGTTGTTATTCGACGGTCATTTTGATACTCGTTTATTAATTGTACTAGATATTTTGGTGTGCGATATTTGATTAGTTGGCTAATGACAAACGGGTGCCATGTGTGGTCAAATGCGCCTCGTATATCTAAAGACACAAGACATACATGTCTGAATTTGTGATGGCGGATTCAATGTCGTGGTTTAGATTTTCTAAGGCATGTTCTGCTGATCTTCCGGCGATGAAGCCATATTGATGGATTGAAAGATGACCATTATTGACAAGGTGACCGGTGATGCGATTTGCCATTATTCTCTCCAGGACTTTGCCTAACACTGAAATCAAACCGATAGGACGATAGGAATTTGTTTTGCAATAATCATCTCGACCGG